CTCTCTCTCTCTCTCTCTCTCTCCTTCTTCGTCGTGGTCTTCTCTGCAGGTGCGCGGCGGCTTCTCCAACCTTCAGGTCCGCTATGGCGGACTATGACTCTCGGCGGCCACCTCTGCTATGGCGCATCACTCCTGCGACACACAACTCCACGCGTGGAATAGCGGGTACCAGCTCCGATACCAATGCAATCAGACTCGGTTTCATTCACAGTTTTCATGCATGCAAACAGTAGCGCAGGAAACTGGCGACATGCGCCCACTCAAAACTCAGAGATATGGAAACCCAGATACGAGTTCACTTTCAATGACTATGGCGACTCAGCGCCCAAACAACTCACTGTTCGCACACACCGGATCACCCTGGATATCCCACACGCGATACTCTGCACTCACACAAACACACACACACACTACACACTAACTCTAGCTATGGTGGCTATGGCCGCAACTACCCTATCGCTATGCTACGCTCCACCTCTCTCGCCCACTTCAGCTCCGGGCTCACTGCAGACCTCCTTCCACATGGCTCACAGGAATGAATGAATGGCTGGGCGCTGCCTCTTGATTTATATTTCTGAAACTCGTTGGTCTGCCCTCTTCCATCGGCCCATGGTGCTCACAGTCCCTCGTGGTACTTGCTGGAACGGACTGGGACTGACTGGACCTTACCGCTGGCTGAATGGGGACTCACTGCTAACCTACCAGAGTCGTACTACAATTGCACTGCCGTTTAGTCCACCGCTTGACTCACCACTTGCCCACTTGCCCACTTGCTGACCTTCTAGAAGCACTACAACTAAGACTTCTGGAACTCGCTAAGACTTCTATTCTACAGATCTACAGATCGAACCCCTGCTACCTATGGACCTATGAGAGCCTACCATTTGCTTACTAGTACATAGGTCACGGGTTCAACTCTCGGGGCCTACACGGGTACTGTACACGGTGGGGGTAAGGACTAGGGATCGAGCCCTGGGATCCGCATCTGCTACTGCAAAAAGGTGAAAACCGTTTCACGCAACTCATAATTAGCCCTTTTCTGAAATTTTGAATTCACATTTTGAACTTTGAAATTAATTACTTATTTTTATGAAATTATCTCGAAATTTCTTTTCTTTGCCGACATTTCTTTAAATTCACGTTCGGAATTAATCCCTTCCTTCGGAATTAACTATTATTTTACCAAATTTTCAACAAAAAATTTTAAAATTCCCCCTCCTAATTATTTTTCTATAATTCGAAGATATTCCAAAATTTCACGTAAATAAATTTTGAAAGAAATTCAAATTTATTTTCTTCCAATATTTTGAACAACGAATTTTGTAAATCTCTCCTTCGGATCCTTCAAAATTTTGTTGTACCCAAATTAATTTCGAATAAATAAAATTCCAAATTTCCAATCGGAATAAATTTATTTATTCAATATTAATTCCCTACTTTCCGAAAAATCTTGGCAATTATCTTTATCTTTCAATGATATTGCTAAATAAATAAGGGATCGCCCCCCCCCCCCCCCC